TTCACTTACCTCAACTAAGCTCTGTTCACTTACCTAGTCAACGTATAAACATAAACATGACCATCTAGGCTCTGTTCACTTACCTTGTCAATGTATAAACACTAATATGTCCATCTAAGCCATGTTCACTTACCTCAACTAAGCTCTGTTCACTTACCTAGTCAACGTATAAACATAAACATGACCATCTAGGCTCTGTTCACTTACCTTGTCAATGTATAAACACAAATATGTCCAACTAAGCTCTGTTCACTTACCTAGTCAACATATAAACACCAATATGTCCATCTAAGCTCTGTTCACTTACTTAGTCAACGTATAAACACCAATATGCCCATCTAAGCCCTATTCACTTACCTTGTCAATGTATAAACACTAATATGTCCATCTAAGCCATGTTCACTTACCTTGTCAATGTATAAACACTAATATGCCCATCTAAGCCCTATTCACTTACCTTGTCAATGTATAAACACTAATATGTCCATCTAAGTCCTGTTCACTTACCTTGTCAATGTATAAACACAAATATGCCCATCTTAGCCCATGTTCACTTGCCTTGTCAATGTATAAACACAAATATGCCCATCTAAGCCCTGTTCACTTACTTGTCAATGTATAAACACTAATATGCCCATCTAAGCCCTGTTCACTGACCTTGTCAATGTATAAACACTAATATGCCCATCTAAGCCCTGTTCACTTACCTTGTCAATGTATAAACAAATATGCCCATCTAAGCCCTGTTCACTTACCTTGTCAACGTATAAACACAAATATGTCAATCTAAGCTTTGTTCACTTCCTGGTTTCACTCTCTCACTTCGGGCTCGGTCTTAGGAACCGACCTCGTAACTATTTTGTGCTTGTTATAGTTTTCATACTATAACTTTTAATACAGTGTGCGTATCTTCACGAAATTTTGCAGATTATCAGTAATCATTAAATGGCTTTCGTACACGAAATATCAGATTTTTTTTTTAAGTTTTAAGATTTTTAAAGTAATGATTTGCTCGTGCATTTTTTAAAGCGTCTGTATGCCGTGCGTGCTAGACTGTTCCAGTGATTGGTTTAAAACAGGTGGATTGAAATTGGTTGTATGCCGTATGTTCTAGTTCCAGTCAACAAAATATCAACTTTTTTTAAAGCACAAGTCTACATAGTGGGCTATCTATGTTGTACCCACCACGGGTATCGAAACCAAAACTTTTAGTTTAATAAGCCGTCAGACTTACCGCTGAGCCACTTGGGGGCACCAGTGTATTTAGAAATTAAAACATTAAATTAAGAAATAACATACAATTACTTCAAATTCTATGACGAGGAACCCACTCCGAGACTAATAATGCTTGTCGAAACGTCGTACATTTGCTGTTATGTTAAACTTATATTAAAGTTTTTCTTCGTTACACATTCAAGCCATCTCCAAGCATTATTATACAAATACTTCGCGTTACCATAGATACGAAAGTTCCAAAGTTCGTTGTAATTCCTTATATTGGAAATCAAAAAGTTCAAAATCAACCTTTTAAGGGTTCGTATTCTCTTTGTTATATAGAATTAATATGAAACTTTCTGATGCACGTTAACGAGTATTGAAAAGTTATATCAAAAGCCCTTTAAGCTACAGATCAAACGTGTTTCAACTTCTTTGCGACTGCTCTAGGCAACATTATGTGCCAAAGTGGTTGTGACAACTTTGTTTGCAAACTTAAGACACTATATAAAAACAGTTTTTCCAGTTGTTGTGTGTAAATGACATTAGAAATATTAAAACCGATTTAACTGGAAAGTAAAACTAAAAGACTTAGTTAACGAAAATATAATTTAACAAACATTGAGTTAGTGTGATCTATTTTGCACTTAGACGCTTCAGTTTTGAATAGGGACCGTTGATAAATTATTTATGGAATCTAATAAGTGACATTGTAGCCTTACTGTGTTTTCGACATTCAGGTAATGATGTAGAGGTCCAAAAAAAGGAAGTCTTGCGTTTATTAATGTCAGGATTGAAAAATATGTATATTAAGTATCCATAATACGTCACCCACCGTAGAAAATAGTTTTCTTTGTTGAATCGCAGTTTGGGTCATGATTAAGCTCTCTTTGCACGTTCATTATAAGCCGCCCTGACGGAGAGAACTAATTAGTTGGGTCTCATAGTGTCGACTTTAAGGCGCACTACAAACAAGGACTAATAAATTAAACCTGGTTCTCATTTGCTGATTTCATTCGTAAATAAGTCTTGTCGATTTTAGATCTTTGCTATTAGGCCCAAAAGTTTCAAAACTGTTGTTTCCTGCTTTGTTGAAAAGCTGTGCCGTGAAAACCAATATAGTGAATATTTGATTATGTCGGTTCTTAATGTCGTCTTCTAGCACGTAATTCAGCGAAGAATTGGTTCTAGATTTTTTTGTTTTTTATGCTTCGTTGCAGAAAAACCGTTTTTATCGTTTTAATACAAGAATTACCTGCAACCGACGTCAGTTTGGTAAAAAACAACAACAACAACAACAACAAAACTCGGACACTTTGATTACTAAATTCATTATTCAAAACGCTGACTGACAAGTTATTGAGTTAAAACAACAGTTAAGAAAGATGCCAATATTAGCAGTAATGAAAGGAGCTCAGATCCTCAAAATCATTTAACACAATCCGAAGAAAAGCATTCAAAACATAATATAATATGTTTAAATTACATGTTCTTTTAGTGCATATAGAAAGATAAAAAAATACCATTAACAAAAAGTTAATTGTTACACTGTATTTGAATGTGACATTTTTCGCAGTTCAAAATTTGTCAAAAAATTTTATTGAACAAAAACTCAAAGTACGTTACTCTGACGAATTTATAAACACTTTTTAAGTTCTTCAGTTTTTTTTTCTAATTCTCACTCAGCATGTCAAGCCAATCACTAAATCATGCTACTGCAAGCATTATTTTCTCTGATTAGTGTTCATCGATACTCGCAATATCATGCATAACGATGCATTTTATTCTATTCTAATTACCAATCTCGTATTGTTGAAAGTGTTTGTTTGTTTTTTGAATTTAGCGCAAAGCTACACGAGGGCTATCTGCGCTAGCCGTCCCTAATTTAGCAGTGTAAGACTAGAGGGAGGGCAGCTAGTCATCACCACCCACCGCCAACTCTTGGGCTACTCTTTTACCAACGAATAGTGGGATTGACCGTCACATTATAACGCCCCCACGGCTGAAAGGACGAGCATGTTTGGTGTGACGGGGATTCGAACCCGCGACCCTCAGCTTGCGAGTCGAGTGCCTTATCCACCTGGCCATGCCGGGCCTTTGTTGAAACTGAGAGAAAGAGAAATAGAGATAACATTAGTTTTCAGGAAAATTGTTTTAGATTGGTATTTTAAACCAACGAACCACGTCGAGCTTTCCTGAACAAAACCTAAAGTCCTTCGTTAGGACAGCGGTAAGTCTACAGACTTACAACGCTAAAATCTGGGAGTCGATTCCTCGCGGTGGACACAGCAGATAGCCCAATGTGGGTTTGCTCTAAAACTAAGAAATGAACAAAACCTAAATAATTCTTAATATGCATTTCTTGGAATTTTGATTCCTATAGGACAAGTAGACTTCAAAATATAATAGCTTTAAATATGGGGATTTTCTTTATAACCACCCTGTGAAATCACGATGTACGTAAAATCCGTTAGGCACTGAAATGATTAGTTTTCGCAAATAGTTTAGCTCACAGTTGTACGATAGGTTACAGTAAGACATGTAGTGACTTGTCGCTTAAATAACAACTAGTTACTGGCTGAGTTCTAAGCTGTTCTGTGGTGAGCTGGGTCAACTTTTGTTGCTGCTAGTTGTGTATTTGTGGGACAAAGAATTTATTTTATTTCCTTGAAGAGAGGATCAA